TGCAATTCCTCCACTCGAAAGCAAAACTAAAAACTAATTAATAACACTAAATTATGATAAATTAATAAACAATAAATTATGATAAAATTCACTGCATGAAAAATTGAAGCAGAAAGATGTAAAATCATTGAACTAATGTCAGTGAAAGTTGTTCCGACATAGACAAAAGTTTCTAATTTCGCTATTCCAGGGTATATCCGATGTATAATCAGCGAATATCCATTTCTCCTGGGGAGCGAGTATCCTGGATGAATTAAACAGCCTAGATTCAAGTATCGTATGCCTTTAAGTCACCGCGTATAAGTGTGTCAAAGAAAGAGGGCTAATTGTCATCCATTAGCCAGTCAGTGAGAGAAAGAAGAAAAGCAGAGGATTGTAGAGGTGGGGAAAAGTACTTTGCCAGCATTCTCTGGCGGCACTAGCCCTGACATTGCGCGCGCGCATCAAAAACCGTCGACGACGACGAGAATCGACCGCGTGTATTTTTCGATTCGTCGGTGTTGTGCATCAACCTCTTGTGCATCGTATTTTCTCCTCGTATTTTCTGTGATCATTCTTAATGTTGTTATTATTTCAATGAGTTCCTTCATTCCTCTAAATCTGTTATAAAACGTTTTCCCATTTCAAGTGCAATTATTGGATTTTTACGGAGAAAGCTGATGCATAAGATAGGTAAGCAAATAATTATTCATATTTCCATATTTATGCCCCAATTTTTGTTTTTTTTTTTCTGATTTTTTTCCTTTTGTGTAATCAGGGCAATTATATTGTTTTATACTGACGGAATCCACTTTCGAAACTTCCTGCGAAGAAAAGAAACTGGGAGAGATCTTTTTGCTATTTCCGGGTCCCATTTCTACTTTCATTTCAACATTCGTTGTATTAACAACAACATTCCCGATGAATAAATGATAAATCGCCTTGTTTATCAATTCACCTTCAGACTCGGCCAATTACTATCGCTTGTATTGATGATTTCATAACGAAAGTACAAAGTTCCATTGAGATAATGAGATCTGATAAGGGATGGAGATTTTTTTTTTCCGTGTTTTCATACGGAAATTAACGGTAGACTTCGGTTGCCATTGCTTATTACAATTTATAATTTTGTAATTTTTCTTATGCAAGTACATCAGCGGAAAAACAGAAATCGATTGGATTTTTATTTCTTTTTCTCTGGCGATGATTAGAATTTATAATTTGTGAGAATCGATGAATTTCTGAGATGCATTGACGTACGAACGATCAATAGCTATTAGTCATAAATATGATATGATTCCAATAAGTGAACACTTTTTTCTTATTTTTATAGATTATTTTTATAGTTTAACTGTCATCTCCGTCCTTACAAAATATTTTGTAATTATCGGATCGCGAATAAATACAGTGAAACATAAAGTGAGAATAAATCAATGCATCTCCAAAAGAAATTGAATTAATTAAATCCCATTAAAGAAGAAAATCACAGAAATATCCTCAGGCCATAACTTTTTATTTCTATTCACAAGTAAATTTAATCTCCCAAGAAGATAGTGTGACAGTCGTACACAGAGAGAAAAATTCAATGAAAATTACGTGCCTGTTTCGTAATCTGTCATTCAAAATAGTATTCAGTAAAAATAACGAAAAGTTCAGTAAAAAATG